TATTTGCCCAAATCAATTTTCAGTGCTACCCCAAGCAATAAGCTTCGAGAATTCTATTTACTCACGTGCAGGTTCCACTCAAATCCAACCCCTCTCACTCAGGTTTTTTTTTTTTTTTTCAACAAGTCGGCTGTCTCCCACCGAGGCAGGGTGACCCAAAAAAGAAAGAAAATCCCCAAAAAGAAAATACTTTCATCATCATTCAACACTTTCACCACACTCGTACATTATCACTGCTTTTGCAGAGGTGCTCAGAATACAACAGTTTAGAAGCATATACGTATAAAGATACACAACATATCCCTCCAAACTGCCAATATCCCAAACCCCTCCTTTAAAGTGCAGGCATTGTACTTCCCATTTCCAGGACTCAAGTCCGACTATATGAAAATAACCAGTTTCCCTGAATCCCTTCACTAAATATTACCCTGCTCTCACTCCAACAGATCGTCAGGTCCCAAGTATCATTCGTCTCCATTCACTCCTATCTAACACGCTCATGCATGCTTGCTGGAAGTTCAAGCCCCTCGCCCACAAAACCTCCTTTACCCCCTCTTTCCAACCCTTTCGAGGACGACCCCTAACCCTCTTTCCTTCCCCTATAGATTTATATGCTTTCCATGTCATTCTACTTTGATCCATTCTCTGTAAATGACCAAACCACCTCAACAAACCCTCTTCTGCCCTCTGACTAATGCTGTTATTAACTCTACACCTTCTCCTAATTTCCACACTCCGAATGTTCTGCATAATATTTACACCACACATTGCCCTTAGACAGGACATCTCCACTGCCTCCAACCGTCTCCTCGCTGCTGCATTTACCACCCAAGCTTCACATCCATATAAAAGATGTTGGTACTACTATACTTTCATACATTCCCTTCTTGCCTCCATAGATAACGTTTTTTGACTCCACATATACCTCAATGCACCACTCACCTTTTTTCCCTCATCAATTCTATGATTAACCTCATCCTTCATAAATCCATCTGCCGACACGTCAACTCCCAAGTATCTGAAAACATTCACTTCTTCCATACTCTTCCTCCCCAATTTGATATCCAATTTTTCTTTATCTAAATCATTTGATACCCTCATCACCTTACTCTTTTCTATGTTCACTTTCAACTTTCTACCTTGACACACATTCTCAAACTCATCCACTAACCTTTGCAATTTTTCTTTAGAATCTCCTATAAGCACAGTATCATCAGCAAAAAGTAACTGTGTCAATTCCCATTTTGAATTTGATTCCCCATAATTTAATCCAACCCCTCTCCCGAACACCCTAGCATTTACTTCTTTTACAACCCCATCTATAAATATATTAAACAACCATGGTGACATTACACATCCCTGTCTAAGACCTACTTTTACCGGGAAGTATTCTCCCTCTCTTCTACACACCCTAACCTGAGCCTCACTATCCTCATAAAAGCTCTTTACAGCATTTAGTAACTTACCACCTATTCCATATACTTGCAACATCTGCCACATTGCTCCTCTATCCACTTTATCATATGCCTTTTCTAAATCCATAAATGCAATAAAAACTTCCCTACCTTTATCTAAATACTGTTCACATATATGCTTCAATGTAAACACTTGATCTACACATCCCCTACCCACTCTGAAGCCTCCCTGCTCATCCACAATCCTATATTCTGTCTTACCTCTAATTCTTTCAATTATAACCCTACCGTATACTTTTCCTGGTATACTCAGTAAACTTATTCCTCTTTAATTTTTACAATCTCTTTTGTCCCCCTTCCCTTTATATAAAGGGACTATACATGCTCTCCACCAATCCCTAGGTACCTTCCCCTCTTTCATACATTTATTAAAGAAAAGTACCAACCACTCCAACACTATATTCCCCCCTGCTTTTAACATTTCTGTCATGATCCCATCAGTTCCAGCTGCTTTACCCCCTTTCATTCTACGTAATGCCTCACGTACCTCCACCACACTTACATTCTTCACTCCTTCACTCCTGAAAGATGGTATACCTCCCTGGCCAGTGCATGAAATTACCGCCTCCCTTTCTTCCTCAACATTTAAAAGTTTCTCAAAATATTCTCGCCATCTACCTAATACCTCCCTCTCCCCATCTACTAACTCCCCTACTCTGTTTTTAACTGACAAATCCATACTTTCCCTAGGCTTTCTTAACTTGTTTAACTCACTCCAAAATTTTTTCTTATTTTCATTAAAATTTCTTGACAGTGCCTCTCCCAGTCTTTCATCTGCTCTCCTTGTGCACTCTCTCACCACTCTCTTCACCTTTCTTTTACTCTCCATATACTCTGCTCTTCTTATAACACTTCTGCTTTGTAAAAACCTCTCGTAAGCTACCTTTTTCTCTCTTATCACACCCTTTACTTCATCATTCCACCAATCACTCCTCTTTCCTCCTGCCCCCACCCTCCTATAACCACAAACTTCTGCCCCACATTCTAATACTGCATTTTTAAATTTATTCCAACCCTCTTCAACCCCCCCACTACTCATCTTTGCACTAGCCCACCTTTCTGCCAATAGTCGCTTATATCTCGCCCGAACTTCCTCCTCCCTTAGTTTATACACTTTCACCTCCCTCTTACTTGTTGTTGCCCCCTTCCTCTTTTCCCATCTACCTCTTACTCTAACTGTAGCTACAACTAAATAATGATCCGATATATCAGTTGCCCCTCTATAAACATGTACATCCTCGAGCCTACCCATCAACCTTTTATCCACCAATACATAATCTAACAAACTACTTTCATTACGTGCTACATCATACCTTGTGTATTTATTTATCCTCTTTTTCATAAAATATGTATTACTTATTACCAAATTTCTTTCTACACATAGCTCAATTAAAGGCTCCCCATTTACATTTACCCCTGGAACCCCAAATTTACGTACTACTCCCTCCATAACATTTTTACCCACTTTAGCATCGAAATCCCCAACCACCATTACTCTCACACTTGATTCAAAACTCCCCACGCATTCACTCAACATTTCCCAGAATCTCTCTCTCTCTCCTCTACACTTCTCTCTTCTCCAGGTGCATACACGCTTACTATAACCCACTTTTCACATCCAATCTTTATTTTACTCCACATAATCCTTGAATTTATACATTTGTAGTCCCTCTTTTCCTGCCATAGCTTATCCTTCAACATTATTGCTACTCCTTCTTTATGTCTAACTCTATTTGAAACCCCTGACCTAATCCCATTTATTCCTCTCCATTGAAACTCTCCCACCCCCTTCAGCTTTGTTTCACTTAAAGCCAGGACATCCAGTTTCTTCTCATTCATAACATCCACAATCATCTCTTTCTTATCATTTGCACAACATCCACGCACATTCAGACTTCCCACTTTGACAATTTTCTTCTTCTTATTCTTTTTAGTAATCTTTACAGGAAAAGGGGTTACTAGCCCATTGTTCCCGGCATTTTAGTTGACTTTTACAACACGCATGGCTTACGGAGGAAAGACTCTTATTCCACTTCCCCATGGATATAAAAGGAAAAGTAATAAGACCAAGAACTATTAAGATGAAATCAAAGAAAACTCAGATGAGTGTGTATAAATAAACGTGTTCATGTATGTGTAGTGTGACCTAAGTGTAAGTAGAAGTATTTATCCAGCACAAATTTGAAACTGCCCAAGGTTTTAGCCTCAATAACCATACTAGGCAGATTGTTCCACTCATCAGCATAAGAACATAAGAATGGAGGAACACTGCAGCAAGCCTGTTGGCCCATACTTGGCAGGTCCTTCACAAATCCAGCCCACTAACAGAATAAGCACTACCCAAGCAGTAAGCTTTAATAATTCTATTTACTCACATGTAAGTCCCACTCAAATCCAACCCCTCTCACTAATGTATTTGTTTCTTCTTTTCTTTCAACGCACCAGCCATATCCCACTGAGGTGGGGTGGCCCAAAAGGAAAAACGAAAGTTTCGCCTTTTAAATTTAGTAATATATACAGGAGAAGGGGTTACTAGCCCCTTGCTCCAGGCATTTTAGCCGCCTCTTACAACACGCATGGCTTACGGAGGAAGAATTCTATTCCACTTCCCCATGGAGATAAGAGGAAATAGACAAGAACTAGAAAGAAAATAGAAGAAAACCCAGAGGGGTATGTATATATATGCTTGTACATGTATGTGTAGTGTGACCTAAGTGTAAGTAGAAGTAGCAAGACGTACCTGAAATCTTGCATGTTTATGAAACAGAAAAAAAAGACACCAGCAATCCTACCATCATGTAAAACAATTACAGGCTTTCGTTTTACACTCGCTTGGCAGGACGGTAGTACTTCCCTTGGCGGTTGCTGTCTACCAACCTACTACCTAGAACTAATGTATTTATCCAACTTAAATTTGAAACTACCCAAGGTTTTAGCTTCGATAGAACCTTGGGTAGCTTTAAAAAGAGATTGGACAAATTTATGAGTGTGAGGGGCTGGGTATGATTGGTGTCATGGGTATATAATAATATTAGAGAGGAACACTGCAGTAGGCCTGTTGGCCCATACTAGGCAGGTCCTTCACAGATCCAGTCCATTAGCAGAATCAACATACCCAAGCAATAAGCATTGACAGTTTTATTTACTCATCTTGACTGTGTGCTAGTAGTTACAGGAAGCTGACATTGAAGAAATGCTTAACACTGACAATGATGCACCTGTTGTGCATTCCTTGAGTGATGGTGAAATTAGATGAATTGTGTTATATAAATAAGCTGTAGAGTTGATATTAGCATCATATTGGAGTATTTTGTTGTGCCTCCTAAGAGCAGGAATTCCGCTGGAATGGATTAATACCATTTCAATTAGTTTAAATGAGGAAAATTGACTCAGCATACAAACAAATCGGGATGCGAACAAGGTCATGGAACGGATTAAATTCATAAGCCGAGGTTCCACTGTATATTTGTATAATTTTAGATGCTGAAAGGCTTGTATATTTAAGCTTTATATTTTCTTTTACAGATTGTTATGGTTCACAACATTAAGACTGGAAAGCCTCGGGGATATGCGTTTATAGAGTATGAACATGAGCGAGACATGCACTGTGAGTACCCAAAAATATGCAATGCCCAACCATGCACACTCAAAACAAAATCAACAGCAGAATTTGTGTCTAAGTTTTTATTATAATTTTTATTCATTATTGTTATCATCATCACTAATACTATTGTACTACTAAAACTTCTTATTTCATGATTTTCAATTTTCAATTTTTATTTTTATGGGCTGTTGTTGAGGGTTTAAGTGTAGTGTGGCTGTTAAAATAATTTATCTCATGAGTTTTATTATAGATTATATGAAAAAAGCTTTGCCACAAGCAGTGACTTTTTTTTTTTTAATTAATTGGTGATATATACCATTATAAAGCATTTTTGTGTGCACTTCCGCAATCTTGTCTCTAGTTGAACTCCTCAAATTTGGCAGTCATAAAGTGTTGTAATTTTTTTTTTTGTAAATATTGACATACAAACTGTTAACAGATATTTTGTATGTAATTTTAAAGTGTTAAAAATTTAAATTTGAAAATGAATGTTGAAGATTGAATTGATTAGTGAATAAGTTATGTAATGTGAGAAGACACGACTACTAACTTGGTCACTATATACATATATATACAGTGGTACCTTGGTATATGTCTGCTTTAGAATAAGTCCAACTTGGTATACATCCTGTTTGGATGCAAAAATTTTTCCTTGGTATACGACCTTCATTTGGAATACGACTCGCATGCTAGAACTTGTATGGGTCAAAATGAGTCGGGGAAACCGTGCGCTACCGTAGTTTACTGCTTTCTCTCTCGAGACGAAGTCATGACTGCCCACTAGCATCAGTACGCCCTTTTCTACCATTTAATGAACAACCCGTGCTGTAACTCTGTGAATTTTCACTTGATTTTGTGTTTTTTTGTATAAATTTTTAGTAAATTCATTAACCATGAGTTCCAAGAAAGTTAATTAGAAAAGCCAAGCAATGAAGAAAATGGTTAGGATCACCATGGAGGTGAAAAAAGAGATTGTTGAAAAGTATGTAAGTGGCGTGCGTTTCCGGGATTTGGCTGCTGCATACCATATACCAAGGACAATGGTATCTACGGTTGTGAAAAACAAAGATGTTATTAAATCGGCTAACATTGCGAAGGGGGTGAAATCGATTACCAAAGAAAGATCAGGGACATTAGAGTATGTTGAAAAATTGCTTTTGATCTGGATAACAGAAAAGCAGTGTGCTGGCGGTAGCATATCAGAGGCAGTGATTTGCAAACTGTTACATGCTGATCTTTTGAAAAACAAGGCAGGAATGAGCCAAGAAAGTGAATTGTTTAATGCCAGCCATGGCTGGTTTGATAATTTTAAGAAGAGAACTGGCATTCACAGTGTTGTGAGGCATAGAGAGGGAGCCAGTGCTGATAAAGATGCTGCCAGTGATTTTGTTACAGAATTTGTGGAGGCTGAGGGTTCTGTTCCCCAACAAGGTTTTAATTGTGACGAATAGGCCTGTTTTGGAAGAAAATTGCTAACAGGACCTATATTGCACAAGAGAAGGCATTACCAGGACACAAGCCAGTGAAGGATAGGTTAGCTCTCATGTTCTGTGCCAATGCAAGTGGGGATTGCAAACTGAAGCTTCTACTGATCTACCACTCTGAAGACCCGAGAGCCTTTAAAAAGCTTAACGTGCAGAAAAATCGGTTACTTGTAATGTGGAGGTCAAACAGCAAGGCTTGGGTAACGAGAGAATATTTCAGCAAATGGTTTAATGTTGTGTTTGGGCCAAGTGTAAAAAGTTACTTAAAGGAGAAAAACCTGCTTCTGAAGGCTCTCCTCATAATGGACAATGCTCCAGCTCACCCTCCGAGCTTGCAGGACTGTGTGTTGCCGGAGTTTGACTTCATCACTGTTAAGTTTCTCCCCCCTAACATGGCTCCTCTCATTCAGCCCATGGATCAGCAGGTCATCAGTAATTTCAAGAAGCACTTACACTAAAGCACTATTTCAGAGGTGCTTTGAAATGACCTCTGACAAAGAGTTAACCCTGGGAGAGTTTTGGAAAGATCACTTTACTATCACCCATTGCATAACTCTCATTGACAAAGCCTGGCAGGAAGTTTCATACAGAACAATGAACTCTGGTTGGAGGAATTTGTTGCCAGAAGCAGTGGCTGAAAGGGACTTTGGGGGCTTTGAGGCTGTGTATATAGTGGAGGATATTGTCTCTCGGGGCAGGTCCATGGATCTGGATATGAGTGATGGTGATGTGGAGGGGGTGGTGGAGGGGCACAGGGAAGAGCTTACCACTGAGGAGCTGTAGGAACTTGAGAAGGAGGAGCACAAGACTAAGATGGATGCACTCTCTTCAGGCTTGGAAGAGGAGATAGAGGAAACCCCTACTTCATTAATCAAGGAAATCTTTGCCAAATGGATGGACGTCAAAAACTTTGCAGAGAAGTACTACCCCAACAGAGTCCAAACAAGCCGTAATAGCATTGTCTGGAATGACCAGACAATATCACATTTCCGAAACATCCTGAAGAGAAGGCAGAAGCAAGGTTCTTTGGACAGATTTTTAGTAAAATTCAAACCTGGTGAGCTTCAACCAGGTCCAAATAAGAAAAAGAGACAGAAAAGAGAAGGGGACTCTCCTTCCAAACAATAACATTTTCTCCTCCTCCTTTCTCAGCACTATCCTAGTAGGCAGTTGACTCTTTTCAGCAAAGTAAAGTGAGGTTAAATTTGCATTTCATCTAATTCTTTTTTATTTATGTATTTTAGTATTAAGCAGTTAAAATTGTTTTATGGAACCCCATCAATGTATAATATGCCAATAACAATAGGATTATTTTCATGGGAACAGTTTAATTGTTTTCCCAATACAGTGGACCCCTACCTTACGATATTAATCCGTTCATGAGGGCTCATCGTAAGATGAAATTATCGTATGGCGAATTAATTTTCCCCATAAGAAATAATGGAAATCAAATTAATCCGTGCAAGACACCACAAACTATGAAAAAAAAAAAATTTTACCACATGAAATAATTTTAATACACACAAACTTAAGAAGACATGAACAAATATAATACTCTACTAAGAATACAATACATGACAGTTACCTTTATTGAAGATCTGGTGATGATTGATGGGATGGCAGGAGGGGAGTGTGGAAGTTATTGTTTAGAAGGGAAATCTCCGTCCAGTAGGACTTGAGGTATCAAGTCCTTTTCCGGGGTTACTTCCCTTCTTCTTTCGTACTTAGCAATTATCTCTTTCTTCATTTCCATGGTAATTTTCACCCTTTTTCTCGCAGGGTTGGCACTAAAAGCTTTCTTGGGGCCCATGGTGACTTATTTTGCAGGTACAATAACTAAAAACACTGATAATATGGAACGTACCGAATGTATGTGTGAATGCGACCGCACTGGCTGAATTGTAAACACTAGCACGCACGGGGCAGCTGAGACTACACATGGGACACGTCCCAGACGAATCGCGTGAGGCGAGGCAAAATTTTTGCGTTAAAATGTATCGTATGGCGGATTTAGCATAACGCAATGTCATCGTAAGGCAGGGGTCCACTGTATTTCTTACGGGAAAATTTGTTTGGTATACATCCTGTTTGGTATAAGCCCAAAGTCCTGGAACAGATTAAGGACGTATACTGAGGTACCACTAATTGAATCATGTTTCTTCATACTGGGTAAATGATTATACAGTTATGATTATTTAATATTTTTTGCAATCATTGTCTTTGTCTGCAGAGCATACCCACTTTAATCAGATTTTCCTGGATCTAGTCTTAATAATTTCACAATATTGTAGTTTTTACTGATTATTCTATTACTCAAGGAAGTAATATGATTTGATCTTGAAACAAATACTTTGGGTAGTGTGCACTGTATACTCTAAAATGGCATGATTAAATTTTTTTTTTTTTAACACCAGCTCTCTCCCACCGAGGTAGTGACCTGAAAAAGAAGAAACACTATCTCCATCACTCACTCCATTGCTGTCTTGCCAGAGGTGCACTGATATTACAGTTATAAACTGTAAATATCCCCTCCCTCCCTTCAGAGTGCAGGCACTGTAGTTTCCACCTCCAGGACAAGTTTAGATCCCTTCATGTTACTTTGCTCATACTCCAATAGCATGTCAAGTCATGATAACTACTTGTCTCTACTATTATTTATCACATTCATACATGCTTGCTGGATGTCTAAGCCCCTCTCACACAAAACCTCCTTTACCCACTCCCTCCAACATTTCCTAGGACAACCCCCTACCCTGCCTTCCCTCCATTACTGATTTATGTGCCCACCAAGTGTTTCTTTCAACAAACCAGCCATATCCCACCGAGGCAGGGTGGCTCAAAAGGAAAAACAAAAGTTTCTCCTTTTAAATTTAGTAATATATACAGGAGGAGGTTACTAGCTCCTTGCTCCCGGCATTTTAGTTGCCTTTTACAAGACACATGGCTTACGGAGGAAGAATTCTGTTCCACTTCCCTATGGAGATAGGTGGAAATAAACAAGAACAAGAACTAGTAAGAAGATAGAAAACCCAGTGGGGTGTGTATATATCTGCTTGTACATGTATGTGTAGTGTGACCTAAGTGTAAGTAGAAGTAACAAGACATACCTGAAATCTCGCATGTTTATTAGACAGAAACACACCAGCAATCCTACCTTCATGTAAAACAATTACAGGCTTCTGTTTTATACTCACTTGGCAAGATGGTAGTACTACCTTCCTGGGCGGTTGCTGTCTACCAGCCTACTACCTAGGCCCACCAAGTCATCCTATTTTAGTCCATCCTCTCTAAATATCTGAACCACCTCAACAACCCCTCTTCAGCCCACTGGATAATACTTTTAGTAATCCCACACCTCCTGGTCTTCAAGCTACAAATTCTCTGCATAATATTCACACCACACATTGCCCTCAAGACATGACATCTCCACTGCCTCCATCCTCCTCTTCATTGCACCATTCACTACCCATGCTTCACACCCATATAAGAGCGTTATTACCACTATACTCTCATACAATTCCCCTTTTTTTGTCTCCATGGATAATGTTTGTCTCCACAGATACCTTGATGCACCACTCGCCTCTTGTCCCTTGTCAATTCTGTGGTTTACCTCTTCTTTC